GAGCAGAACAGCAGGTGCAGAAACTGAACCGTCCCATGTTATCTTTAACAAAGGGGGTCAAAGTATACGCTGGAGGAAAGATAGCCTTTTTAATAAATGGTGCTGGGGAAGTTGGCTGTCCACATGCAGAAGATTGACTCTAGACCCATATCTCTCACCATGCACTGAACTAAAATCAAAATAGATCAAAGATCTAAATGTTAAAACAGAAACAATCTGTTGGAAGATAAGTAAAACTCTTGAAGACGTAGACATAGACAAGGACTTTCTAAATAGAACCCCAATTACACAAGAAATAGCACCAAGAATCAACAAATGGGATCGCATTACATTAAAAACTTCTGCACAGCAAACAACCAACAGAGTGAAAAGTCAACCTATAGAATGAGAATAAAAATTTTGCACAGCTGTTCCTCAGATGTAGGACTAGTATCTAGATAAACATATGAAGGACTCAAAACTATTGGACCTCCCTAAAACAAAAGATCCAATCAAAAGACTGAAATGAATAGACATATCTCAGAAGAAGTATAAACAGCCAATAAATGAAAAAATGTTCGACATCTCTGGCCATTAGAAAAATGCAAATTAAAGCAGCACTGAGATTCCATGCTACTCCAGAAAGGATGGCTATCATCAAGATATCAAACAATAACAAATGCTGGTGAGAGTGCAGAGAAAAAGGAACCCTTCTATATTGTTGGTGGAATTGTAAACTAGTAAAACCACTATAGAAAGTATTATGGCAATTCCTCACAAACTAAAATAAGAAAGTCCACTCAACCTAGCAATTCCTTTTCTAGGCATCTTCCCAAAAGAGTTAAAGTTATCCTATCACAGTGACACATGCATACTCATATTCACAGTAGCACAATTCATAGTAGCTACCTGGAAGCAGCCTGTATGTCCATCAACGGATGAATGGATAAAGTGTGATATTTATACACAATGGAGCACTACTCTGCCATAAAGAAAGGTGAATTGAGTCGTTTGTAGGAAAATGGGTGCACCTTCAGATCATAATGTTGAGTGAAATAAATCAGACACACAAGCTTAAATTATCACATGGTTTCTCTTATGTGAGAAAACCAAAATATAAATAAAAAGCAAAATAAAAGATAGATAATAGGAAATAGGGAGATAGATATTTTATAGAGGGAAGAAGGACCAAGAGGTGAATGGTAGAGAAAAGGAATCAAAAGAATTTATGTACATATACATAAATTTTATGTATAGTAGGAGGATATACATATATATATTAGGGTTATATGTATACCATATAATTATATAGTACAATTTTATGTATAGTATGAGGCTATATATATATATATATACTATATATCTATATACTATACATAAAAATAAAGTTCTCAGTACTTTTATAGTTTTACAATATCATACAGAAGAAAATTTTTATGCCGTCAGAGTACAAGTGATACAAAAAGTATTACTACATATGGTCAAAAGCCACATACCATAAAGAAAAGAACTAATTAATCTAACCCCTTTAAAATTATATGTTCAACAGAAGACATGATATGCAAAGCTGAAAGACAAACCATGGGGGAAGGAAAGGTACTTGCAATGCAGATAATCAAAAAGGATTTGTATCCAGAATATATAAAGAACTTAACACTAATCAAAAATAGAAGAATCTAATAGAAAAGTGTACAAGAAATACTAAGGCAGTTCAAAAGAAAAAATTAAACACTTGATGTATTCATATGTACAACAAAAGTAGAAATTAAAGTTAATACAACTAAAATTATATTTTCCCAGTCATCAGGTTTACATTCAGAATGCCCTTATCTTGCAAGGTGCCATGTTAACCAATGCATGTAGGAATTGCAGGTTGAGGAGGGTCTGTATGTTTAGTCTGATGATACAGGGTTGTCAAAGAAATAGGACAATGGCAGGCCTCATACCCAAGAGTGATGAAAGCGAATCTGCTACATGCACTGCAAAGCAAAGCAGAACCATCTAATGAAGTCACATTCGTAGCTTGAGTTACTCTGCTCTTAGGAATATGCACTGAATAGCTCTAGCCCATGTACCGAGGAGATGTGTGACACATGTAAAATGTTTATTGCAGTATCACTCATAATGGCAATAAAAATGGAAACAATTTAAGTGTCCACCAACTGGTTAATGAAATCCTCCCAATACAATACTGTACAGTAGTTAAAATCAGTGAACTGTGTTACCTATATAAAAATAGATAAATCTGTAAAACAACACTAATCAATAAAGCAAGTTACAGAACTGCTGTGTTCTATATCCCTTTATTAAAAGAGTGGAGGAAATGCAGAGCAACACAGCACACACATGCTAAATAGACGTGTGAGAGCCGGGGCAGCCTTCTTATCATCGTACCCACTGGATAGACCCAAAGAATCCTGAACACGATATTCAGAAGAGTAGTTACAAAATCAGAAGGCTGGAAGAAAAGAGAGAAGCAGGGAGGAAGCTGAGTCCAGTGAGGTAGTGGATGGTATGGAGGGGGCTCCAATGATGTTGTAAGATTTTAGTCCTGAAAAAAATTAAATTAAATTAAAAAGGAAATAAGACGAAGCCTAATACTCCAATAACATTGTTGGTGGATACGTAATTTACTTATGCCTTTGTTGTATTGTTCCTTGTGTGTTTCTGTGTTTGAAATATATTTTTGAGAATATGGACACGCAGTATCCGAAATGCTCTCTGGAAAGATGAACCGTGGTTTCCCACATGGGACAGATAGAAACGGGACAGCATAGTTCAGAGATAAGAGAAAGACATTCGACTGAATAGTTGGGGAACTTTTCGATGTTCCAACCAAGCAGAAGGGATTACCTATTTAAAGCACGCAATGAACTGTTTTCAAAAGGCTAGTGCACAATAGAAACAGAAAGCAGATTAGTGGCAGCCTGGGGCTGAGGCTGGAGATTGCTTGTGAGTGGCCATTAGGGGTATTTTTGGATGATGAAAATATTCTAAAACCTCACTGTAGTGATGCCTGCACCACTCTGTAAATTTATCAAACATCATTGAATGGTTCACTTAAAATTGGTGAGCTTTTGTGCTTGCAGATTTTCTCTCATTGTCGTCGAAAGGTTGAAAGGGGGAAATAAAAGCCATGGACTAAAGTTCCCATGATTTGGCCTCGTCATCCAATGTTGACGGACAATCCTAAGAAAATAGACAAAGTATGGGAAGGAGAAGAAACTAGCCAATGGAAATTATTAAATTTTATGGAGAAATTAATTCATGAAAATAATATTAGGCTGACGTTGTAGCTCAGTGGTAGACCATGTGCTTAACATGAGTGAGGACATAGGTTCAATCTTCATTGCTGAAAAATACATATATATTGATCTGGAAATGTGTTTTAAATGCAAGAACATTGGCCTGGGTGATCCAACATGTCACCTGTGGTTCAGTAAAGGCGTTCTTTGGTCCAGCTTTGCTGATGAAAAGCATGTCTGTCCTTAAAGTCTTCACACACCACCAGGGAAGACAAATGTGTATATAATGTACTCAGAAGCAGTATTGGCCACAATGCTGTGGAAATCACAATTCTTATCATACCAGAGCTATTTTGTCAATGTTACCATTGTCTTTCCAGATACACAGGGTGCCTCCACATTTGTAACATGATTTAGTGATATGTAGATGTAGCTAAAGCATGTTGTCATAATGTGCTTGCCTCGTGTGTCCTGTTCATAAATCATCAAAGACTCACTGGTAATTCATCTCTTCTCTTCATTCGCCTGGTATTTGTATAGTTCTGATAAAGGGTTTAGAAATGTTCATCTTCATAAAATAAGCAAATCTAGAAACGATCAAAACATTACCGCAGACACATTTTTGAAATACGCATACATCTATTATTCTTTTACTTATTTGTGGCAGAGCCCAGTGCTTACCTGACCTTGAACTACCTCTGCCTTTTTTGTTTTTTGGCCTTGGGGTTCAATTCCAACTCAGTGCCCAGTTTCCATGGAGAGAGAAAACAGAGAAGGATGGTGACCTGGCTAGATGCCCTCCAAGGAATTCTTTACACCACCTACCCCATCAACAGGATTTGCTCCTTTGGTTTGCAAGTAGTGTGGTCTTTTCTTCCAAGCGAAAGAAGAGATGTCTTTATCACTGTAATTACCATTACAAGAAGGAAAATTATAGAGTTGTAATACGGTCTTTGGAAGAAAGGTCTGCCCCTATGGAGATTTGGGGAGAATTCCTGAAAATTGATTGTGAGAAAAGAAACTTAAAACTGATCAGAATGTTTACAACACCTAGACATTTGTAAACAATACAAAGAATGGCCTCCTCTTGTGTTCAGTCCTCTTTGTCTATATAATGTGTGTCCTGAAATAAGCCTCCAGTTTTGGCCCCTGAAATGAATACACTTCAAAATACCTAGACACTCATCTCATTTAAACTTTGAATTCAGCCAATGAGATTTTTATCTGGCAAAGACCTTAACTGAAAAGAATTTTAGTGTTTTCTTACTTATTCTCAAGTTCAGGAACAATTCACTCGGTTTTTACTTAAGAATAATCTTATTCTTAAATGTCAGTCTTGGTGCTTGTTTTAATCCGAGTTTCACAGATACTTGTCAAAACTACAATTTTTAAGCCAATAGAAGTAAATGTGTCTTGTTTCTTTTATCATGAAATCAAATATGTGTTTCAGTTCCACAAAGGGGGTTAGGAGGCTTTTTCTGAACATTTAGCTGCTGTTTCCAAATTAATGCCTTAATTTCTGTCTCAGGAAAGAGACCCCAAGGTTTGAGAATCCCCGTGTGCGGTCCTTTCATTCTGTCCCCAGATGACACCTACGATACTCAGCAGCCTGGAGACATAGCCATTAACCAATCTCCCCAGCTCTGACCCAGGAATTCCGAATGCTTGGTTAAGCCCAGGAGAAATCCAGGAGGAATCAGGGTTGTATGCATTCGGGAACGTTGTCATTTCTATTTCCGTGCTCTGATCCCAGCTATTTCTGTTGTTGTTGTTCAGGTTATGGGAAGAGTGCCAACAATTTCCATCAATAAGACAGAAGGTTGCCACATATACCTCAGTGAAGATGCATTAGACTGTGAAATTGTGAGTGCCAAGTCGTCTGAAATGAATATACTTATCCCTCAGGATGGCGACTATGTAAGTACCTTCTGAACAAAGACTGCCAAAAACTTTTGTTATTAACATTCTTAGAGATTGATTAATCAGCTCCCAGCCTGTGAGCTTTGTTGGTAAAATAATTCACAGGCAGGAGAGGAAGGTAGGGAGTTCCTTCCACCTCCCCACTTATTGACTTCCTGACTCCACTCACTCCTGGATTTGTGATTCTCAAGGCAGTTTACTAATAACCACTTTCAAGCATTTAACACAGTGTGCACGGAGTTCCTATTATGTAGGACTAAATATTTCCCCTCGCGGTAATGGAAATAAGCAAGGAAAAAGGAGAAATACTTCGAGGGAAAAGTGGAAAGGAGGAGAGGGAAGTCTAAGTGGACTGGCTATTTGAATTGGTATGCTCAAATCAGAGACTGCCCGCTGAACAAAATCAGCCAGCGAGGCTGACGAACAGGCCAGCACCGAAAGAGGCACCTAGAGGTTGAATTTGGGAGGTCAGCTGTGGGGCCTATCAGTCTGGATTCTTCATAGGCATCTCAAGTGGTTCTAATGCCATCAGCCCATCAGGCCCTTCTGAGAAGTATTAGCCTAAGTGATTTGGCCAGTATTTCTCACAATCAAAGTAGCTTGGATAAAAATCACGCAAATATTCGCACACATTGAAAAGGGAATACAATTAAATCTGTAACCTTTCTGGATCACCAAGTATGGTGGATTAACTGGTTGTTGTTACTTGGAAGTAGGGAAATAAATACAGAGATAATTCCCTCTGACTGCTAGTAAACCAGGAAAGAATAAAAGAAAATGTAGCAGCTGGGCGTGGTGGTACATGCCTCTAATCCCAGCACTAGGGAGGCTGAGACAGGAGGATAGCTGCAACTTTGAGGCCAGCCTGGGCTCCATAGTGAGTTCAAGACCAGCCTGTAATACATAGTGTGACCCTGTCTCAAAAAACATATTGTAACTCAGAAGACAGACCTTTGGAAGAAGAGTCCCATCAGCCTGGAAGGCCAGTCACCAGAGGTCTACACAGCAATCTGTAACAGGCTGGTGGATCTCCTTGGCAGACAATATGACTGCTGCCATGTGCTTCCCCACCTACAGGAAGTTATTCAGCTCTGCCCAGCCACATCCCACACGTTGCAGCTTAGAATTCATCATATCAGCTTGTAATACAAAACTCTGCAAGCACTGGGTCACACTTCAGCCATTAGTATAGGGACAGCCTAACCCTGAGCTATAGAAGAGGCCCCTTTTGAGTTCTCAGCCTTATGAATACTATGGAAGAGCTAAGCCATTAGAACAGTTTCAGAGTAGGGGAGCCAAAACCCAGGTGGCCGTCGCCTCTGCAGCTGTTTAAGCAGAAGGCACAGCTTCCGGAGAACGGGATCTGCTAAGGAAAGAAGTGAGGTTTGGATGAGCACTCCAGGATGATTAAACTCAGCTCTCTCGGCATGCAACCCAGGTAGCTGTAGTTTTTAAGGCTTCCCAGATAAGCCCTGTGTGAAGCCAAAATTGATATCCTTTAGCCTTACAGATGAATATAAGCAAAGCTCAAGCTTTTTGCTGAAAAAATAGTTTTGCATTGATAGGTGAATGACCTTCTCCTCTCAGTCCCTGGCCCTCTTCTAGCATTTTCCAGGTGGAGGTGGGAAGGAATACAGAGGCCCCGCCATGGGCATTGTAATGTGAGGATCGATGGGAAGCATAGTTCTTCCTGAACGAAATCAGCCTCCCAGAGAAGATCTGTCATCAGATTACTACCTCCTCACTGCCCAAGAGTGCAGAACAGCTGTCGTACATTCCAGTCCAAGACAGCCCCTCTCTCAGGCATTCTTCCCTGGGTCAATGCCTGAGAATAAACAGTAAGCTTTATTTTCTCACCAAGGAGAGCCCCAGAAGTGATATTAGGTAAACACACATGCACAGAAACACACACACACACACACACACACGCATGCCTGCATGTGCACGTTAGCTTATTAATACTGTAGCTTCTTTAAGATTTTTCCATGCAGATTTCACTCAGGAAGAATTCATTACTCCTTGCAGCAAAATAAATCAATCACTTCTTCCCAAAGAAACCGTTGGACCCTGCATCTAGGAAGATAGGTACTCCATGTGCGTTCCAGGGAAGCGTCCCATCTCACGAGCAGCAGCATCGGTTATCACATGTGGCGTCTGAGCGAGCATAGCAGTGCTGGGAAGGCCAGGGAGGCTCCAGATCCAGGGCCAAGGCACTGTGCTTCAGCCTCCCCTTTCGTCCTCATTGCAACTGTCTGGAGAATGAGAATCTCTCCAGGAAAAGGAGAGCCCAGTCTACTGCTATTTTGGCTATTCCATTTTCCTGTGTGTGTTTGTATGCCTGGGAGCTACACAGCTGGGGGAGGCCATGTGTTTTTTCATTGGAAAGTGGCAGAGTGAAAGGAAACAAATATATTCACAACCCTGAGCACATTTTTGCAGTTCCTCAAGGAGCACATAGATAACTCTGGATTAAAGCGTTTGTACCCCACTTGACTGCTGACCAGCTGCCTCAGCGCCACCTGACATCGTGTTGGGAATGGAGACTCCCATTCCTTCCCCAGGTCTACTGGGTCAGAATCTGTATGCTATAATAAGGTCCATGGTTAATTGACACATACGTTCAAGTTTGATGGAAAGCAGTGGCTGAGACAGACTGCTTTGGCTCGGATTGGGCTGGTTTGCTTACTAGCAGTGTCATCGTGGGGGAGTGGTTTGACCTACAGGCGTCTGCTTCCTGTAGGCAGCATCCCAGTAACTCCACGCTCCTGGGCTTGCTGGTGATCAGCTGAGTGCCTAGATGTCCAGGGCTTCACAAAATGCCTGTTCTCAGCAAACGCTGGGGGCCGGGGATATAGCTCCAGGGCACAGCACCTGCCTGGCAAGTGCAAGGTCATGAGTTTGATTCCCACAAAAAAAAATCAGTAAATGATAATGTCGATGATGAGACTGGAGGGCATTCACCCAACAGACACGTGACATATGCAAATCCCCACGTGACAAAGACCTCTCCGTGGCACAGATTCAGGTTGGAGCAGATCGCTGTGCCCACCACGTGTCACTACCATCTTGGCAAAACCCTTGTATAAAGACTCCTGCTCTTCTTGCCTTTATTCCAGAGAGAATTTCCTGTTCCCGAGCAATTCAAGACAATCTGGGATGGATCCAAGTTGATCACTGAGCCTGCAGAAATTATGGCCTAAGACCGAAGACCCTCACCCAAACGTCTGCAATCAAACAAAAACAAGCAGTGTTAAAGAGCTAGACTAGAAGATCTGGTAGCACCTACTGCTTTAGTTTAAGCCTCCGAGAGTTCTGTGCTATAGAAACAGTGTCATTTCTGGCACACCTCCGTGGGCATTTTGAAGTATTTAACATTTCTTCATGATCTGCCTTTGTGTGTGATTTTAGTTCCACATGATACCTTGTGACTTACAGGAAAAAGAAAAAGAATTCTTTGCCCCTCATGTCATTAACATAGTAACATATAGGTAAAAATACTGCATGGTCTGCTTTTACACTTACGTTTCATTGCTAGTTGAAAAACAAAACCTTTGAGAATCTATGTACATTTTTACCTCGTAGGCAATTTCAATATGAAACTGCTCTGAAAAATGTACGGTTTTTTCCTACTTGTTCACTTTTATCAGTGTGGATACACTGTCAGCATGAACATATACTTAGGTCACGCTTTTAAGAACTTAGAAAAAAATTCCGTGTAAGGACCAAATTCAATTTCTTGGTCCTTGGAAGACATATATAGTTATTAAAGAACAAAAGTGCATTCTGATTGTTCATCTTATGGTTGCTTTATTGTAATTGTTCATCCTGAATATTTTTCCACAATTTCACCTAAAAACTCTTACTTTTTTGCATATTTTATGCCAAAAGATAGATGATAGCGGCCAGGGATATAGCTCAGCGACACAAGCACCTGCCTAGCAAGCACAATGTCCTGAGTTCGATTCCCAGTACAAAAAAAAGATAGATGATAAGAAGCAATTTTTTTGCCATATTATACCTCACAAGTTAACGCTAAGAACGGCTTAATTTTTGTTTTCCAGTTCTGAACCTGTTAAATATGAGATGCCTTCTATATGATGTCTTTAATGTTTTATTACAAAATAATTTCTTCTTTTCCACTTGCCAGATTTGCTATCTAGTCTCAAAAACGGACATGAAAAAGCCATAGATGTATTACTTCTTCTAAAACTTAAAGAATTGTTTGTTGGTTTGGCTTGCTGCTCCTATTTTATAATCTTGATAGTCCATGCTTTTTCAATCTGAGTAACTATGCTATTCCTTTGTGTCTTTTCAGTACATAGTGCTGAAAAATCTGTGACTTCTTGGGTCACATGTGATGAAGTGTAGTAGAATGCTTGCAGAACCAATACAAGCATATATATTGTGCCTATGACAGCATCTGGAATAATTTCCATTTTTAAATATCTTCTATATCTATATAGTGTTCAAATTAATAATGCTCATGTAGCCAGGTTTTGCTATAAAAGTTTTGTCTGTATGAATAACGTTGTGGCTTTAGTAAATAATCTTTTTTGAACTGTACACTTATTCTGAAATAAAGTAAAATTCTAATTTAAATACTGTGATGCAGGCTGGGTGTTAAAAATTGTTTTCTTTTTTGCAATTTCATTTGCCCCTCGCTCCTATAGCAGATTTAGAAAAGGTAGCTGGGTCCTTTTGGTGGAAATTAGAGAATTTTTACAGAGCACCATCAGCTTACCTGGAGAACAGCTTCTTGCAGGTGTCAGAAAACACACTTTGCAGTTGGAGTGACTCTCAGAAGGCTTTCCACTGAGAGACCCCCCCTCAGGGCTTTGTTAATGCATAGATGCCAGAAAACAAATGACCATAAATGTGCTACATGTTATAAATAACTCACATGCATACATAACTTCTAGAGGAAAAATTAAATGAGAGGCTATGACTTGAAAGGGTATATTACATACCCATTGTGTAATACTAAGTTGATATTGAGAAATAAGTCCACTCAAAATTCTTAGCATCATCAGTTGGTGTTGGACTTGACTTTAGCCTTTCAGGTTTCTTCACCCTAGATATTGAAAATCTAGATTTAAGTTCAAGCAATTATTGGCCAGCCCTGTATACCTCAAGTTAGCATCCTCTTGTCCAACTTGCTAACCAAAAATGAGTCACCTTTGTAGGTTAAATTGGTTGGGAAAAAAAACTCTGACAATGTATCTATAACTACTAAAGACAGCACTGGGTTTCCAGTATGCTTTGTTCCTTGTACCTTCTTAAATTCTAATATCACCAGTGCTGTGACCTAATAAATACTATCAAGGCACTGAAAAATATTCATACTTAGACAAACTGCTTGTCACATACATTCACAAAAAGCCTAAATGAAAATCAGTGTCAGGGCTGGGGACATAGCTCAGTGGCACAAGCACCTGTCTAGCAAGTATAAGGTCCTGAGTTTGATTCCCGGTACCCAAAAAAAAAAAAAAAAAAAAAAAAAATTAAGTGCCAAGGGCTCTTTTACCTTATAGTGTTACAGGTAGAAAATGAGAACCCAGAAGAGATGTCTTGTTGCCTTAAGAGTCCTCTCCCTGATCATCCTGCCCCCTTAGATAATCTATTCTTGATACCCTTCCTTTTGCAGCAAGATATCTTGAAGTCAGCGGTCAGCTGTAACCACATCTTCTTATCTATGCAACTGACAAGTATATCATTTATTCTTTTGTTCACTGAGAGAGCTGAGAAAGCAGAGCACCCTCGCTTAGCATGTGTGAGGTGCTGGCTTCCGTCCCTAGCACTATGAAGGGGACAGGCAGCAGGAATTGTGTTAATTCACTGAAAATGTCTGCTTCAACTTCTGGGAACCTGGATGTGTGTACGTATGGAATTCTTCATTTTAAAGATGAGAAAGCTGTGAACATGGTGGTACCTACCTCTAATCCCAGCACTCATGAGCCTGAGATAGGAAGATCACTGGGAGATTCAGACCAGCCTGGCATACATGTGAGTTCCAGGCCAGCAACGTTGTCTCAGAAAAACAAAAACAAACAAAAAAGACAATAAAGCTGAGATCCAGTGACATTAACAACTTGCATAAGGAGAAGCAACAGATTAGAAGCAAACACTGAAACACACACACACACACACAACTTTATATAACTACTGTAACTTCTAATCTCATCATATTTGTGAAAGTTCCAAAGGTCATCAAATCCAGTGGCATCATTTCATTCTTCATGCATGGAAATTCTTTCCTTAGTAAGCTCCCTTTGAGTGTGGTGGACAAGACACTTTTCTGGATCCTTTCCCTTCCACCTTCTATGTGTTCGCCTCCAGTGCTCACTTGTATCCCCTAACCTCAGCCCCTCTCTGTAGATGCCGCCTAAATCCATGCCCCAACCCAAAGCCATCCCCTCGGATTCCTAACTCCTGGTGTCCACAGAGTATTCTACCTGTCTAGCCCAACTTCATTTACTGTGACTCACATGCGTGCGTATATCCCTGTTTTTCTCACCTGGATCTCCAGTTTTCACGAAGGTCCCCTAAGACTCTTCATCAGAGACTGTAAATTATCCATTTGCTACAACAGGAAACACTGGAGGAGAAGCAGGGCTGGAGGGAACTATGGTTCAGCCTTGAACATGTGTAATCTAGGGTATCTCTGAGACATTTAACTGGAAATGGAGAGTAGATGGCTGAGAATATGAATACTCCTTGTCTCTGATGCCAAATCTTTGGGAATTATTTTATGAGTTTAATATCCCAAAAATGAATTTCATTAAGCACGTTCATTTCAAAAGAATTTGCTTTAAGCCATTGGCACTTTCTGTACCATTTCAGATACAGATGCAATTTTGAAGGCTTTCATTGCTTCCGTGGAGACGAGCTGGTTTTCTAGTGTTACAGATTTCTCTTGCAGTGTTTCTAGATGTGGCCCAGTTATATCTGTTGTACAACTGGAATGTAAACCAGCTCAAATTATCCCAGGAGACCTCAGCCAGATTTCTCCAGAGGGTTTTTGTTCCTCTATTGTTTGCTTAGTAACTTGGCTCGGAACATGCAACTGATGTTTCCTTCTCAGAGAATTTTTGTTGAGGTTTCCTTCCAATACAAAGTGTTATTTTATAATTAAAGAAAATTGGTGCCTAAAACTACAACGTTGAGTGTTTCAGTTCTAATCCACTCTATTGCAATACCTTGGTTTTTAGGACCCTCAGGAGTCAAAAACAGGACACGCCTTAATGACATGAAGAACCAAAGGAAAGAGACACATCACTTACTAAATCATAGTGCCCATTGTTCAAGTCCATCCTCCAGTATCACGAGGTTTTTCTTTTTCTTTCAAAAATCAGTACCCAGGTGTGGTAGTGCACACCTGTAATCCTAGCACTAAGGAGGCTAAAGCAGAAGGATCACCAGGAGTTCCAGGTCAGCCTGGTTATAGTGAGTTCAAGGTCAGCCTGAACTATATCGCGAGGCCCTGTCTCTAAATAAATGAATAAATATCAGCTAACCAGGCCTGGTAAGGCTGGCATATAATCCCAGCATTCTGGGAGACTGAGGCAGGAAGATTACAAATTCAATTTCCATCCTGAGGAAATTAGCCACTGAGAGAATAAGAAAGAAGGTGAAGGAGAAAAAGGAGGAGAAAGAAAGAATAGGCTGGGAAAGTAACTCAGTGCAGAGACCTTGGGTTCAATCCCAGGTACCTCACCTTGATTTCCTAGTACCAAGAATTCACTCTGGGGTGGGGATATAGCTCAGTGGCATAAGCACCTGCCTGGCAAGTGCAAGGTTCTGAGTTCAATTCCTGGTACCAAAAAAAAAAAAAAAAAGAATTCACTCTGGCAACTAATCAATCAGAAACCACATTCTTAATTTTTTTGTTCTTTTTCTTTTTTTAAAAGTTTATTGGTACAATTCAGGTATACATAATGACCACAGTCATTGCAGGGAATTTGTATCTAAACATGATCTATCTTGATTCCCTCCCCCCGCATTCCCATCCCCTCTTCTCAAACCCACTTCCCCTCTCACAAAGCTCAGTTCTCATTTTATCCTTCTTTTCTCATTTTTTCTTTCCCTTCCTTCCTTTCCGCTCCCCCTCCCTATTTGTTTTCCTTTTCAACAGCGTAATTCCACACACTCACTTCTGCCACTCTGAAGTCTGTTAGCCCACAATGGGAAATTTCCCCTGGACACAGTAGTTCCATGAATTGGGGAAGACTGTGGCTGCTCTTTTCTGCTCACTACTGGGGAAAGGGTATTGTCCGCAGGCACAGTGAGCCCTCTGCATCCCCAGTGGCCCACCTAGCACTCGGGGGACCCTGTGGGCCCCTCCCTTGGGCTCTCCTCCCCATTGTGACATAGGTTGTCAGCGATGTGGAGAGGTCTGGAGAAGTGTTTTACAAGAGCCTTGTAAAAAAGGCATCTTTCGGAAAGGGTATAAAGCTATAGCAAGATGTTTTTAAAGAAGTTGTGAGTTAATGTAATCTTCATGGTCTGGGATAGAAAAGCGCCATAAAATAACCAGGAGTTTCCTCTATGAATTGTACTTTAGTCTGACTACAGTAGCAAACTGAAACAGATTTGGGTATGTGGCTAATTTAAGCAGAAAGAAGCTAGCTGTATCTGTCTACTGAAAAATAGTATTGAGTATGTAAGTCATCCAAATTACCTGTCCAAATTCACTAAGTGAACACTTTTCCAGAATACCCAGGGGCAGCTGATACACAAGTATCTGAAGAATGAAGAAGGAATATTTTCATGGAAGCCCATTCAGTGAATGTGGAATTCAGGGCACGATGTCCCACAGTTAACAACTAAAATCTGGTTCCTAGAGTTATCAAAATGTTCTCTCTTTTGTTAGCATCTGAAATAATTATACACACAATATGGTCTACATTCTGGAGACTGCTTCTACCAACTGCTAGACAACCACTTTCTCTAAGTTCATCTCATACTCTACAGTTTACAGAAATAAGTCTCTTTTTTAAAAAAGGCTCCAACATCTCAGCAGATATATTTCCAGTAGGATTTACCATCAATGAAAAACAACTCATACTTCATCAACCTTTAAAACAAGTAGTTTTTGCATTCATTGGGAAGAGCTTGGCATGAGAGTCCAACAACCTACCTTCTTTCTATCCTGGAGCTGCAGAGGTGTGCCCATTTGACAAATGCTTGTGATGCCTTCAAAGAGGTTAATTCTTTAAAATGAGAGCAATGTGTTAAAATGGTTTTTTCAAATATCAAATTAAGCAAATATGCAGTAAAAGTGTCTAGAGCAGACCCCATAGCTGTCCACCAAAGTATGTTCTTTCCTTAACAGACTACATTTCCCAGCCTCCCTTGCAGTTTGGATAGCCAGGTGATTAGATTCTCTCCTTGACAGAATGTTCACATTAGGTAATATAGTGTTGCTTTAGGACTCAGCCTTTTAGGAGTACATGTTTTCTGCACATTCCTTTCCCTTCCCTCAGCCAGGTTCAGGACCCGGAAACCAGCCTCATTCATGAAGATGATGACATTCTCAGATTATGCAAGAATACCAAGTTGGAAAGAACTGGAATCTCTGTCTCACAACACAGGAGACAGACACCCACTGACCTGAACCTGCCTTAGTTAGTTCCATAAACTTAAGCTTACATGTGTCCCGCATATTCCATGTTTTGGAAACTTAATCCTCAATGCAACAGTGCCAACAGGAGGTGTTTGAGGGGTATTTAGATCAAGGCTCTGCTTTCACAAGTACGTTAAGGTGGTGATCATCCCAATGAGTTCGGCTCCCTTCCTTTTCTTCCCCCTCCCTTTCAGGCCTTGGGCAACTCTTTAGCCTCCAGAACTGTAAGACACAAATCTGTTCTTTATAAATTACCCAGTCTCAGGTATTCTGGTACAGGGGCCCAAAATGGACTAAGACAACAGGACTCAAATAATTACAAATCTGTTTTTTTTTTTTAAAATCAGAATATTTAACCCACCAAAACTAATGTACCACTTAAAGAACTCTCTGACTTACTAGTTCAGCCACCAGAAATGCCCTTCAAGAATTTGGAAGGGTGTAGCGTAAAGTTTGAGAGCAAGCAACCTAATTTCATCTTTTACCAGCTGTGTTATTTTTAGAAAAAATCATTTCCTTACACATCAGTTTTTTAATCCCTAATTTAGAAGATAACAGTAATCATCCTATGGGGTTGTTTTGTGGGTAAAGCATATACTAAATGTCATACAAGCATTAATATTATTATTATTATTATTATTATAGCTGAAACAAAAACATGGAAATATACACACATAAGTGGTAACAATAATTTTCTAAGGGATATAGGTTACAACGAAATGTCTTCTACTTTCTACTCTTATTTGAATTTGTCAGAGCCCTCATTTTATTATTAAAATCATGATAATCTTTTGTGATTATCAAATAGCCAAGAATTGTTTTTGTCTTTTTGAGGCAGGGTTTCACTCTGCAGTTCAGGATTGGTTAGTCTTCTCTTCATGCATAGCACATTACTCTGAATGTACCAGCTTGCAATCACATCCGTGTATTAGCTCAGGGTTTCTCTGAGTTGGAAGTCTAGGCCCAGTGCAGCTGAGTGCTCACAAGCCTGAAATCAAACCCAGATGCCAGCTGATCTGTGTTCTCATCTAGCACTCATCAAGGGCTTGGGATCTTCTAAGCTCATTCAACTTATTAGCAGCATTCGTCCCTTGCGGCTGTAGGACTGAAGTCTCTGTGTTTGGTTGGATACTTGGTGGGGACCTCCGAGGCCCTAGTGACCAGCTCAGCTCATCTCTTCATGAGATGCTTGCGACAGGGCTGCTGGCTTCTTCAAGGCCACCATGAAGAGCTCTCTCACTTTGAATCTCTCTGACCCCTTCCATCCCTACCTAGGAAACTCTCTTTTAAAGAGCTCCCCTGAGGGGCTGGGGATTTAGCTCAGTAGCACAGCACTTGCCTGGCAAGCACGAGGTCGTGAGTTCAATTCCCGGTACTGGAAAAAAAACAAAAAATAAATAAAGAGCTCCCCTGGTTGGGTGAGACCATCCTGGATAATCTACTTTATGACTTAAGATTGATAGATTAGAGGTTCTGTGATACAGGCAAAATCCCTGCTTCCTTACTAAGTAAAGTAAACCCCCTAAGGAGAGTAACAGCCCATCACACACAAGTGCTGCTTGTGCTCCAGGTGAGAGGAGTGTACCTCACACACATATCCCAGGCAGCAGGGACTCTCGAGACCACCTTGGAATTCTAAATGCCCCAGTGTAAACCGTTCCTCTTAAGAAGAGATTAAACAATAACTGTTAAAAAGGCAAGAAGATGTTAAAAATATGAAAACTGTTTGCTCTAACATATATTTGTCTTTGACAGATTTAGTAGGCAAAACAAAATTTGGCCTCAGTATAAGAAAACTAAATTATATAATTAGCAAGACTGACTTGAAAGAGTAATGCAACTCTAAAAATTAAACACACACACACACACACACACACACACACACACACACACTTGGTTTTCAGTGTCTTAGGGACTTAATTCCATATTAGGGAAAGTGAAAATCGCTGAGTAAATATTACATGAGCCACTGTCTCTAAGTTAAAAAGCAATAAAACAGAGAAGAAAAGAGTAACCAAAGCAATCTAATCACTGAAGAAGTTTACTTTTTCAAATAATGCTCAGGGCCAGGGAGAGAGCTCAGTGGCAGGGCCTGGCAAGCACAAGGTCCTGAGTTTGATTCCCAGTACCAAAAATAAATAAATACATAAATAAATTAAAATAATGCTCAAATCAAAGAAAGTAATACTGCAGTAACAATTTAATGACACGAAGGCTCTATCTCTAAAAGATTACAGAATGATAAGCATTCTAACCAAAAAGGAAAAGCAAATAACACAAGTAAGAAATACAAAAAAAAAAAAAAAAAACAGGAGAAAGAAATTAATAAAAAGAAAGCAACAATTAGAGTTAGAGGTAGTTCAGTGGTAGAGCACTTACCGGCATGTATGAGACCCCAGGTTCAATCCCCAGCACCGCAAGAATTTTTTAAATAAAGCAAAATTAAAGAATTAAAAGTTTGAGAAGATTATCCCTGTATTTGACAAAGCAGTGAGGGAGGGATGCAGAAGGATCTACATTGCCTTAAGTGAGTAGTAATCGTTGAGGTACACAAATAAGAATCTTTTCTTGTGGCTCAAATTCATCATAATAAGAACATATTATTTTTGTACTTAAAAATACATCAGTGCGAGGCAAAGAAATAAAAAATATCCTAGCTTTTGAAAGTTAGCTAGAAAGTGCCAAGCATTACATCAACTATTTTCCAATGTCTTATACAACATGTTTTAAATTAATCATATATTATTTGAAAATTAATATCTCAATTTTATAAGCATTGTCTCTGAAAATTAATATCTCAAATTCCACAGCATTTTATAGTCATTGTCTCTGAACTCCAGACAAAGAAAGCTACAAAATGGGAATTTAAAATCACTCAGAGGTTAACAATTTTTGGCAGAGTTCTCTGATTTTTAAATTTCCTCAATGATTATAAATGTCTTTAGATTTGTTGCTTTTTCTTCAGTCAGTTTTGGCAATTTCTTTTTTCTAGGAAAAATACATTTTCTCTAGGTTTTCAAATTTGTTGGTGTGAAGTTGAACATAAACTTCATGTTATTATTTTATTTTTTAAAAATTGTTTCGATACTTAAAAATGTATATATTCTAATTTAGTTTCTGTAGTTTAATTCCTCCTTTTCTTAATATTGACAGAATTATATTCTACTATTTTCTTCTTCAATGAACGAGTAACTGGATTTATTGATTAATTATATTATTCTACTTTCTAATTGTTGAATTTTTGAGGGCCAGCTGATGTATTTTTATTGTTTTGCTTTTATAAATAATCCTGCAGGAAATATAATTGACTTACATCTTTACACCTTAGTACTTGCATTTCTGAGATTCCTGAGAGGAGGACCAGTAAGTCACAAGGCTCAGATGTTCTGAATTTTGGTGCAAGCTGCCAAATTATCCTTCAAAAAAGTTGTGCAAACTTATTCTTCCAGGAACTGGATATGAGTGAACCTTTTTCTCCAGACCTCCGCAACCCTAGATATCACCTGTCTCGGTCATTTTTCCAGTCTGATATGTGAAATCATGACAACGATCTACTTACATGCTTATTGATTGGGAGGTTGGTCTACTGAACAAAAAAGGAAGATAAGTATTGAAGCTATTAAGCATAAAATGAGCCAAGATATTAAATTTAGAAGAGTACACAAGTCAACAGAACCCTGTGAAAAGGTTGAAAATAGAGAAGAAACCCAAAGAATTGTGGAATTTTTGTCCTTGTGACATGAACACAAGAGGAGCCAAGAACATCAGGGGAATTTGTTGACGTTAAGGTTTCAGTGAATGTCCGGCTTCTGTATAATCCCCAACTGTTCCCCAGGCAATGGGGAGGATCTTATCATGAGGGTAATAAGATCATGTTAGAAAAAAGGTAACAGGGAGGACAGCAGCACTTAGGCTAGTGGGCTCCACTTTTGAGGGAGTCGGGAAGAACTGCCATACTCAGGGGTAAAAGTCCGCTAGGTGAGTAACTGACATGGGATCTGTGATTCTCCCGCCTGGCTTGATAGCTTCCAGTACTAATACAGCGAGCAGCAGAAGCAAATCAATGATATCTACACTTATTTGAACTAATACTCTGTGTTTTATAAACATTTGCCTTTTTTTTCTTGCACATGCTAGGCAAGCACTTTAACACTGAGCTGTACCCCAGTCCCAATAGCTTCCTACTCCCGAATGAATCAAAGCCAAACTTCCCTTGACCTTGCTGCACAATGTTTCACTTTCTAACTTGTCGCTGGGGTCCCTCTTTTTGGTTCCTTTCCTCCCTATGTCATGGTCATTTTATTCATATGTATTTGCAGCTCTTTCTCTCATGCTATTTATATCTAAAATGACACTGTTTGCCTTCATCCCAATTTTATATTTCATACATGTGTCAAATCCTAGCCTAAAATGCTTCTTCCCTTTACCAGAATTTCAGGAGCAATACACATGTACAGTGATCAAAATATACAGTATATGTTTAAATTGTAGAAAATTATTACAGTAAAAGACACAGGGCCAATAATCCCTCTGAAAACAGCCGCCCTCCCTTGCTTTGAACACATTTACACCATTCTTGCCACTTTCTCAGTCAGATCTGGAAGTCTTCTTTTGTGGTGCTGTGGAAGCTGCTTCAGTGTTCTGAACTGATACGAAACATTTCCCTTTCATGGTCATTTTAACTTTAGGGAAGAGCCAGAAATTGCCCTCTGCCAGATCTGGGGTTCAGATCTGGATGGGAACACACTGTCGTGTTTTTATGAGCCTTCTGTTGGATGGCACGTGGCAGCAGCATTCACCAAGGATTTTTCTTTCTTTTTTTTTTTTAAATCATGCCTGCTTCAGAAAGTGGCAAAAATAATGCGGTATGTGTGTTTAAAGGGAGGGAGAGTACTTTGAGAGGGATTAATAGCAATGTGTCTTTTACTGTCATTTGTTTTTTGAAATTTAAACATTCACTGTATTTTTTACCACACCCCAAGTGTGTAAGTAACTTGTAACCAACAACAGTCTTTGGTTTCTGTCAGCGTGACACAGGTAAGACTGATTGGATGATCCTCCGGGTCCGCTGGTGCTGAAGCTGGGTATGGAGGTGTGTGGAGTTCTTAGCTTTGGAAATTCCTCCACCTGCTGGTTGCACAAAGTCAGGTCTATTCACATTGCACAATGAGGCACACAGTTGTTTTGTGAGCTCCACCCAGTTTTCAGAGAAGCATCTGCCCTTTGTGAGTGATGATGCTTTATTCATCACTTCAAATTTCTAAATCAGGAAATATTTTGGTTTTTTGTCGGGGGTAGTTTCCGGTACCGGGAATCGAACTCACGACCTTGCGCTTGCCAGGCAGGTGCTGTGCCACTGAGCTAAATTCCCAGCCCTCAGGAAATACTTTGTAAAGAAAATATATTCTTATGATAGTATAAACTATTTAAAAGCAGACGATAAATTCCTAAGTGTGTTTTACAACCACTGGGGGGCAGGAATGTATTATATACCAGTAGCAATTCACTCCAAATTTGACTAGAAAAGGAAAAGATGCCTTGTTCATAGACATTTCCAAATATTACTACTGAAATCAAACTAATTGTAAATTTATTTTCTAGTTGGTGTATTGGGCATCTAATTTACCAAAGAAGACTTTGGAGGTGGCTTTATTTTTCACAAATTGTTTTCTGTCAATGTATCAAGTCACACACACTTTATCCTAACAAGTTAAACACCAATCTGACATCATAGGGTTTGCCACATGTTACTAGAAAGAATAGCTGAAATAGGGCAATAAGCCAAAAATTAGCTTATCTTATTACAAATTAGAGAAGTCCATAATAAAACAACAGATTTGTAGCTGCATAGATATCAAGAATTCTCTTTCAAGGGGGCTGGGGATATAGCTCAGTGGCATAGTGCCTGCCTGGCAAGCACAAGGTTCTGAGTTCGATCCCCGGTACTGCAAAAAAAAAAAAAAAAAAAGAATTCTCTTTCAATGATATGAAGGTATGGATTCAAACATGGTTAAAAATAACTAGCTATTTCCTGACCACTTCCCTTCAGAAACAAACTCTTTAAAGATTAGAACGCAGCTCTTACGTCTATTCTTCATCTTCCATTCCTTTCTCGGTCATCCCTTCACCCCTGTGCCCTATAAAACTGCTCAGGTAAAGACAACTATGAGCTCCTAAGGGCTGAATCCAAGTTCTTTAGTTGGAAAGATCACAGATCAGCCCTTGCTCATTTAAGCTTAAAAGGATTTTATCAAAAAGTTATCACAGCTCCTGGAATTAAAGGAAGAACTGTAAGTTGCAAGAGTTAACCAAAGAGTTTCATCGTACTTTGGCTGGCATTACTTTGGCTGGCATTACATTTGTTCCATTGGGGGATCGCTTGGCTCAAGTTTCCAAGACCCAGGTGAGTAAGTTCACTTGGCTGGGCTCAGGTTGCATGCCCATGCCGGAGCTTGGAGTGGCAGCACAGACTGCCTCAGGTGACATTCCTGCCACAGCTGCATAGATGGGGAGATCGGGTTACTCAGTAAGAGGAAGTCAGGGTACTATTACCAAAAGAGGAAGAAATAAATAAAGAGAGTGGTCAAAAAAGAAAATGCCCACCATACTCTCATCTTTCTGAGACAGAAGCCACCATGGGGAGAGAGCGGTGTACCCTAGGCCTTACTCAGAACCTGTCCCCCATTAAGAGCATAGTATGTGCTCTTCCCTACCTCCTCATCTTCCTGGACAATCTCACGGACCTCAAAAAACAGATGCAGCATTAAAGCCAGGATACCTTTAGCTCAGTATCTCCAAGAATAAACTAGTGAGAAAATAAAATTGTTGGAGATCATCACTGTGGGACAGAGGACAAACTAACTCCTGGCCCTTAACCTGTTACTCATTAAAAGCATGATTTGTGTTTTCTTTGGAGGCAGTTAAGGACTTAAAGCTGCTTACGCTAAAAACCAGTAACTCTTCACTTGAGCCTACAGATGCCCAAAAAAGCAGATGCCGAAAGGATGTAACTAAATGCACAATACAGGTTTGCATCTTTGCCTTCATTTTGTATCTGCCTCCATTACTGCCTTAAAATTTTAGGTCAGGTGCACACTCGGCTCTGCATGGAGGCATGTGAACTATTAAGGGAGTGTCTTCTAAAAACTGTTAATACAAGGTTTATTAGTCCTAGCTGGGACATCAGTCTTCTGATGTTGGACTGGAATTTATACCATTATTTTCCCAGGTTCTCAGGCCTTTGACTCAAACTAGAACCACACCAATGGTTTTCTCGGATCTCCAGCTTGTGGACAGCAAATAGTGTAACTTCACAGCCTCCGTAGTAACATCAAACATGCCAATTTCTTATGGTAAATCCCTTCATTGCTTCTGCTTCTCAGGAGGACCCTAATATGACTCACTTCTTAGAGAAAGTCCAGTCCTTCTTCCTCACCCTCAACTATTCTTTCCACACAACAATTTTTTTTCCTTCCATATTCCCTTGGCCTTTGCTCTTGGCTTTCTTTTCATTTCATAGAATTTTCCATCTATTCCTAACTTCAAAGATCACTTATATGATTGTAACTCTTTCTGTTACCTTATTCCGACTGAGAATTAATTACACATATTCACCAGCGGTAGCACTTGGATATCCCACTGCTGCTCCTTCTACCATCCTGCTCATCTTCTGCCTTCTGCATTTCCATAATGGTATCAAAGGACGGTCAGTCATCCAAGTCACAAACCTTGAGCTATCTCCTCCCTGTCACCAAATCTGCAGGTTACATGTCCTCAATTTCACCCAAATGCCTCTTCTTCATGTCCTTGATGCTATTTCCTTTATTCAGATTCTCTTCATCTTACCTAGACCATAACCTCCCAACTGGAACCCATCTCTTCAATTGTACATCATTCCAATCAATCTTCCACACCATTACCAGAGAGATGTTTCTAAAAATATATATATAACAAGGCTTATCTCCCAGATTAAAGCTCTTGAATAGCTTCTGCTGCTTATAAAACAAAGTCCAAAATCTCTCATAAAGGACAGTAGTCTTTTATAATCCAACCCATCTCTACCTCTACTTGGGTGTGCTTCAGACTATCAGCTTCACCATTTCCATGATCAATGCCTGTACTGTATCCTGTCCCTGAAATCACCTTCCTCACCCTATCCTTAAAGATAGACTCACTTCAAAGTTGCATCCTATACAAAGCCCTAGGATAGCTATTGTAATTTTTTGGTATGCAGTACACACACACACACACACACACACACACACACACACATACACACACACAAATTCAGGAGACATTTTAATTATACTGTGTCTTTACTCTGTTATCTGTCTTCGGTTTTCTCAATCAGTGACTCTTAACCTATACATTGGCTGTCTTCAAAATTTGCCCATCTTTTTGCTTATCTTCAATATTTATCATTTCTCTCAAATCATTTCTATATTTTTTTATTTAAAACCTCATTTGAACTTCTAGTTTTTGTCACGCACTACTCATTATATTTTAATTTTGTGCTGTTTTGTTTTCTGAAATTTTTTCTTTTGTTTCTAATTCTTTCCCATGTTACTTTACTTGCTTTTTATTTTCTATCATTTTCTTAATATATTCACAGTTGCATAGTACCATGTCCATGTGCTGCATAAAGTTATTCAAAACAAAGTCCACATGGCCAATAATCACAACATTCCATATTCATTCCAGGCCATCTTCATTTCTTTCTTATTGCTTCTCCTGCTTTCTCCATCCCAACTTGGGATACTTGTTTAAAGACTAAAATTTCTTAGCCACTGAGGCTGCGGTTCAGGGGTAGAGTGCTTGCCTAGCATTCATGAGGCTCTGGGTTTGATTCCCAGCACCACAAAACCAACCAGCCAAGTAACCTTTCTCACTGCTGATTTGAAGATCACGTTTGCAAAAGCAAACCATTCCAGTTATATGCCAACACTTTTCCTTATTTTGAATTCATAATTACACTCATACACTTGGGACTTTCAAGCTTTTCATTAAAGTCTTTCCTTGAGCCAGATTTTTAGTTCCTAAGAGCAAAAGTTATGGAAATAGGTGAGGCATTATGTATAGTTCACATGAAAGGGAAATCATGAACGTTCTAAGTTTCTACAGAAGGCACCAAAACTGTAGGACATGACCAGGGTCTTCCTACACAGAAAATAAATGAAAAGGAACCTGGAATTAAGACAATAGGCTTGAGGAAAAGGAGTTCTGGTACAATGGAAGGCCTGTATACATAGAGGAAAAGATTTTATAGACACAGGTTAGCTCCAGGTTAGAGTGCAGCTTTTAAACAAGCATAACCTCCCTTCCCTTCCTTCACATTTGAAGATCTCTGCATTGAACCACGCCATCTTAATGTATGGCCAATCCACTTTGGCTTTTAAACTCCTTACGTTCTAAGGGGATACAGTGTTTTCATCTTCTCGGCAACAAATGATAACTGGAATGAATCTGGACAGCCACAAGCAACAAGTCCTGGGCTGTGAGACTAACTGGGTTTCCAAGAAGCAAAGATCACGCTGACCCTGGACCTTCTCGGAAATCCTCCTCACGTTCATCTGCGGTTCCTCCCGGGAACCTGGGTGCAACCAGAGGATGATCTCTAGCGGTCTCGGATCTCCGATTTCATTAAACTCGTGAACTTCCGCTCAAGAGGACGCAACCGACCGCGGGGAAACGGGGCCGCCCATGCCCCGCAGAGAGACCGCAGAGGCGCTTCCGCCTGCCCGGCCCCGCCCCCCAGGCCGTGGGGCTTCCGCTTCCGGGGCCTGATTGTTGACGCCTGCGGTCGCTGCGGCAGCGCCGGGCGGCGAGGAGGGGCGGTTGGGGAAGGGAAGCGGCGCTGTGACAGGTACCACTGCGGGTGCAGCTGAGACGGCGATGGCAGACGCGCCGGAGGAAGCCCGAGGCCGCCCTCCCGGGCAGCACGACGGCGGAGGAGAGCACGAGCC